ATAATAATACAAAAGTGGCTTTTAATGTAATTCACCATAACTTGATGAGTTCACATGTATCTCTAATATAACCATACATGATATAGCTACTTTCTATGTTTTAGCATATTTTAATAGGATTCCATCAATGAACACTTCTACTATGTTCTAATACTATTAATATAACACGTAACGATTACAAAATATGAAAATCAAATAATTATATTAATAATAAAATAGTAATAATTCATTGTCAGTTGAAAATTATCAGTTGTAAGAAATTGTAAGAAGTATGTCTGTGATCGTACACTGGAATGTAGTTGTATCACCTGCATGGGGCAAGGTCACATAAAGGTCTTCCTCTTCATAAACAATTTCTAGAACAGTGTTGTTTATATTTGTCCAAGAAGCACAAGTCGAACCCTGCGATGATGACGATATCCATCCTAATTCAAATGGATGCGGAATAACTGGGATGGCTTCGCCACGATGCAAATCTCGAGTACGTGTTATTTGTACGTATCATTTGTAGGGGTATTGATTTGATGTCTGGGTTTCTCACATATAAATTGTACTTAAATTCATTCAACTTACACTGATTTTAGAAAAAACAGTTGATACTCTTATAGTGTCGTAAACTAGCTCTCTTCGAACATTATTCTACCGTTCCAGCTATATATACTCGGCTTTTCTGCTACACCAGTGGATGCCTCTATAAAACAACAATTCCCTCAACAAAGAAGAAGCTATTGATATAGCAACCACTTAGTTGTTGAGCGAGTGGGTTGACAGTGTCGTGGAAATATAGTATTTATTTTTGATAAACAATCATCTTAAATCTTCATCAGCTAGCATTCCAAAGAGATATACAGCTATCTGTGTGATATCAGTATCCGATGATCGAATGACAGTTGGCCACATCCTTTGTAAACACAGACAGCTGTATAAAGTGCGTAACAACACAAAAGTCTGCTTCGTTATGTGTGCTTGCAAGGAACCAATGGTCAATATATTAGTGTTAGGCATGTCACTGTTTTGGTCTTGATATTGTAAAGTAGTGACATTTTTTCTGTTCTCAAAGCCTCCAGCAAGAGTAAGTTTGACACCAGCGGGTAGGATGTCAGAGCTGTCTGACCAGGAATTGATGAATAGTCTGTCACAAGCTTGCTCTGTTGTTTGTTTCAAAATCATCCCGGTGTTTTACAGTCTTTCTAAAATTTACTTGAAATTCTCGTTTCTCGTTCACTTGAATTTTACAGATACAGGATTTTCATTGGAGTATTGTACATTATGAAGTCCATCATATTTGTCTGGTACTTGATGCATGTCATCACAGTAAAAGTCGCCTAGCATAACTCTAACTTCATTGTTAAACGATTCATATTTTCTGACAAGTCCCATAACATCAACAATAACACCAGTTTTGCAGTTACAATCAGATATAATGATTTGCCATTCTTGGAAATAAATAATCTTCTTTAATATACTCTGCAGAGCTGACGTATTGTCACTGCAAATTAAAGCCTCACTATTTGATCTATCTCAACCGGAGCAGGAAGGTAGTTGTACAATTCACGGTGAAACGTATCGTTTAGTTGAACTTCACCAATGCTTCCTTCCCTTTCCAGGAGAACTCTTTTAAGTACAGACGATTCTTCAGTGTTTTTGAACTGTTTCAGTGTAGGGCTCTTCATTCCCTTTTCAGCCCATCAAATGTGTGTGTACATACATTCAGCGTAGGTAAAAATTTCTAGAGCATTTCGACCAGAATGTTTATGCACCAATAAAATCTTATACTATTCATCCATCTGTTATGTTCAGCATATATTCCTTGTTTTTGTGTTAGTGAAAGAATGTATCCTTTCACCTTCACTGAATGTTCGTATTATCCTCTTTCTTGATTCAAGTTATGTTTTTTGCTGTATATTGTGTATCCTGATATCACTGATTAGCACAAACTGATCCAAGGACATTGGAAAAGAGGCGACGCTGCTGCAAAAAGTAGTTAGAAACTGCATCACAGTTCTATAGCGCCATATTTGTCCAAATATTATTAAACTTTCGTGTAGATCTCTTTACTGCGATATATCCACCTCATATTCAGATTGTACATAGGCGCATTATCTGGAATTATAATGCCGTGCTTTGCTGTATCCTGAAATGGCGCGTTCTGATTGGTCAGACAATACCATGTGAAGGCGGTATATCACGCGATATACGGCAGATCAGTTGATCGGATCATAACATAAAGCAGGCGACAATAGTCTAAACCTGCGTCACTTTCGGACGATACCACAATATGGGGGAAGGAAAGTATGCTAAAGCAAAGTTTGATCTCAAGTTTAATTAATACTGATGACTTGAGTGAGCCAGAGCCTCAGAAGACGATTAATAATTAATTGAAAGAACATTTTTAAGGCTGTCACCCAACCTTGTATATATAATAAATTTCGCTTTTCTTTAAATCCTATTTAAAAAGAATAGAGCTGTAATTCAGACATTTTGTTTTGCAAGCCAATATAATCTTGTATCAAAATCGACACTTTTACAGGGTTATCAAATTTTACATCATCAATATTCCCAATCATTAGTGATATAGCAATCAGGCTTCTCTAATCAATGCACTGTTCAACACAGACACAAATGCCCGTTGGACTTATTGATGTAAATAGTAGCGAATTTGGGAATGTAAAATATGTTCTTTGTGATAACATTCGCCCAACAATTTTGTACCAAATGACAGCCAAAATGCTATGTCTCCTGTGTTACCTAATCAATAGACAGATTATCAAATATTAAAACGTCCACAGGTTGCTGTCAAAACTAGTCATATGTGAGTCTGGGTTTTGTTGAAAATGTCAGCATTGTTAACATATACTGACACACCCGCGCGCACTGAATTGCATTTTCTTTCAACTCAGATTCCGTGTAACAAAGAAAAGGTTTGTTGACATGAATTTCCAGTCCTTTTCCGCAGCGTTCCATTTTTGCTATGGCACTCTTCATGACAACTCTTTCGAATATTGTATTATATAGCTTCTTTGCTCTCTTTTATCATCCACTTTCCATTCTAGTTAAATCATCAAGCAAGCCGTCATTCCCACGAACCCACCCAATGCAACACAGTTTGTGTTCCTTCGAATCAAATAGAACGCACTCTAATTATTTCCCCAACATATAAGTTTTCTGTATAAACACATTTCAACAAATTCTGCACATTTTGTTGATCATATCGCAGTCTCTAGTGATGACACACTTCTGTGGAGTCAAACTTACGTGTATGGATGGAATCAATGTCGCATGTCGTTCCTATTACCAGATCTCTCAAAATCGTAATCTTCGGTGACAGGTAACTAAAAATCAAAGTGATATCGATGCTTGGATTGGTCTTTGGGTCATTCATTTGCGTCATAAAGTCGCCACGCCACTAGAGGTGCATTAAGGATGTCTATTATATACTGTTATATTACCATTATATATTAGACCTAACACTTCATAGTATATTCTGTATCATTTGTCGACAGAACGCATTCGTGATGGAGAGGTTTCTGAAGTTATTGATCCTGATTCAATTTGCACTTTGTCCACTGTTGGTGTATAGAGGAATGAACTACAAGAAGTCGATTCCAGAGTAAGTTATACATTAAATACATTGTCCAAATTTATCAGCAGAGAAGCCGAGATGGTAGATGGTATTGCCTTTTTTAGTATGAGTCCGCAGAACCTAAGATAATAAGAGTCAGAAATAAATTATAGAAATTCAGAAATAATATATATTCATTATACGAAAACGATTCATTATGACGACTTGATTTTGATACCACTCTTTGTCCCTAGCCTGTTCTCTGCATAGTGTTTATTTCTGGTAAAGGGCAGTTTTTTGTCTTGTCAGCATTCATTGCCAGCATCTATGAAGAAAGTACTTTTTCTTTGTTCTCTGGCTTCGAATCAACATTTTCCAAATCAGCAAACGGTGTGGACGCTATGGGTGCATTGTTACACTACTTAATGAACTGAGCAGTTGATTTTTGATGGAATACAATATGTAGTTCACTATGATACATACATATACCAGGTGTAATATCTACAGGTTTATGACCCATTGTCTATAACAGGAATTACGTAACACGCATATTCTGTGACACACTGCCTGTAATTAAAAAAAATAAACAGTTCTCAAACAGTACTCTCAATTGGCCAATATTGTTACTTAATAGTGTTCTGTACCTTGGATAGGTGCGCAACCCGAACCCTTACCACAGAGCTCATCCCGAAATTTACTAATTTGCATTTTGCTAGCTCAGCAATAATTTAGTCAGAATAACTACTGTGTAAGATGTTAATCTGGCTTCTCAGACGTTCTGTGTCTTGCGTCCAAGAGTTTAAGCTTAGTCAACAGTTTTCGAGCTTACATATTACTTGTATATATCGTTTACTTCAAGATGGAAACAATTCAGATGATTTGCACGTGAGATTACCGCATTGTTAGTCGATTATTAGATTTTGAAATTTAGCTTGGATGGCAGTTGTTTAACTACAAACACAATGTTTATGCCGGAGATAAAAACTACAACGCCATCAACGAGCACCAATGCGACGATGATAGACATTTTTCAATCATCGTTTTCCTACATCGATGATTCGGTAGTTAAATCACGACCTTTCCGTTATTTTATTATATTATTCGGTAATTATCTGAGAGAATCACGATTAGATTTCTAGGACCCTATCCTGTTATTCCTAGTCTATTGGACATTCAGACCGAGATTATTTTTATGATGACATATATTTACTTGGGGCATAGGGTGCAACGTCTTCATCAACTTTAAAATATAATTTGTCCTTGTTGTAGGAGACTGAAATCGGTCTCTCAGTGTCTTTCGATCAACCATGAAGCAGACACACTATTGAGTTAAGATCGTGGCTTTATTCATTTCTGTAAAAGGGATACCATTTTAAAACAAAACATTCACAAGCATGGACAAATTTTATATATATTCGTATTATACATTGTACTTAAAGTGTAAAACCGAATGATATTTATGGTTCATTAACACTATATTTTATTCTGTCTCCCATTCATTCTACACATTAAACGTTTCACACGTGAATTTGCATTTTATTTCTTTTTTTAGATTAACCAATGAACAAGTCTATTCAAATGAAGGCGATTTGATTTCATTAAATAATCAAGATTATAAAGACTCATTCGAAGAAATGATCAACTACTATCAAACAAATATCAAACCGACTCACCGACGACGTGTATTCTCCAGAAAACCAAACACTTGTGAACCTTACAAATACTTCATATTTCGTAAAACTTCCAAAACAGGTAGTAGCACTGTATCATCGATATTCTTCAGATATGGCTTGTACAATGACCTCAAAGTTGCGCTTCCAAATCCCATGAGCAGCATGATGATAGGCATTGCAAATTCCACAGTGCGAGTTCACCGTACTTGCAATGATCCATCGACTGAATTCAATTTTATGGCGAATCATATATTTCGGTACGACTACAACGTGCTTAAGAACTTTATACCAAGAGCTAAGTTCATAACCATTATCCGTTCACCAATTGATTCATTCGAGTCTAAATTTTATTTCATGAACTATGATAAAAGGTATAAGTTGGATAACCAATCTAATCCACTTGAAACATTTCTATTGGATAACACTTATCAGGAATATTTAGATAGCGTGTTAGTATCTCGAGTGTCAACCTGGTTTAATGTAACGAATGGTGTTAGATTGTTGGAAATGGAAAAAGAATTTGATTTGGTGATGATCACAGAATATATGGACGAATCTCTAGTTCTATTGAAAAAGATGATGTGTTGGACATTTGACGATATAATATATCGTTCGCAAAAAGTATCCGAGATACAACGACCACCCATGACGAAAGAAATGGGGCAAGTAATTGGGGAGAGATTGTCTCTCGATACGCGAGTATACGAACATTTCAACCAGTCACTGTGGCGTAAAATACAGAATTATGATGGTGATTTTTATACAGATTTATCAATATTTCGTATGAAACTATCTGAGAGTGCAGAAAAATGTAGAACTATGAAAAACAACAATGAATATTGCCAGTTGCTTGAAGATGACGTTTCTACACTCCAAAGGAAGATTGCATTCAAACAACATAAAGACTTATGCGATAAGAATCTCACAAATAAAGAGTGGCATTCCCGACAACCACTAAAACAACTGATTAAATAAAGCGGAGGGGTCGTCCCAAGCGACGGTAACAACACACGCTAAAACGCAAAGGCTCATGGGTAGACGCTTGTTTGTAAACAATGACACTCACGCTATGGCCATTAGACGCATGCGCAGGTGATTTAAATACTAAAAAGTGACACGTAAAACCGTTTAAGTGCTGTTGTTACTGCATCTGATCAATGAAGCATGCGCAAGAAATTACTATACGTTTTCAAAACGTAAATTAATATTTGTTTGTGTGAATTAAATCATATTTACACTTCTAAACGTATACATATTCATACTGTGGGTAAAAAGTAAAAGTAAAATATTATAGATTTGCTAATGATTATTACCAATAAGACAAAAACATATTTTATTTGGCATATACGTTTGTTATCGCAGTGTCGCAACACAACTAAAATTCGCCACATTCACACAAGAAACACAATGCGTTGATCTTATTTAAATATTTACGTTCAATATTGCTGGCCAACTATTTTCACTTTGTAAATTACATTGAGCTAACTCACTTTACTGTCTTGTACAATAATTAAGTCATGTTCATCTAATTAGTATGGATAATACATTAAATGTAACAAGAAAAAAATCTGTATCGACTGGAAAAAGTATAAACTCAATTCACACCCAAATACAAATGCCCCGTTTGTTTGTATTATAAACCTCTGGTCACCAGCGTGCTTATAATCTAATGTCTTGATTAGAAACTCATTCAACAATGTTGCCATTATCCAAGCTTAAAGCGGGAGGGTCGTCACCTGCGCACGCGCGGGAATTGAGTCCCAACCGACGATAACAACACACGCTAAAACGCAAAGGCTCATGGGTAGACGCTTGTTTGTAAACAATGACACACTATGGCTATCTGACGCATGTGCAGGTGACGACTACCCCGCTGTAATCCATTGCTGAACCGCTACTGTCGTAAGTGTATGTGTACAGAGCGCTGAATCGTATGAAAAAAGACCCCCTTTTAACTGAATGTGTTTCAATGGCACGTATTTGTTTTTGTAATTTTTTTCAAATGCACGTCACCGCGACTTTCCTACAAATCTCCTTATGCATGTTCATTATTATACTCTGTGAGTAGTACATGTGTATTTTATAATATATCTCTAGGAATTAATATGTGCATAAATTGGTCACATGACCAGCTAATATGTTATTCAAATTCATTCATTGATGTATGACATACCGAAAACAGTAACGACGTCTGATTGAACTGCAACTCCGTGTGGAGGCATCTGAATGGTAGATTGGAACAACGCCCGCTGTGCATGTCATTGTGTGAAACTGTGTGGTGACTCCCGGACCGGAGTGGGCGTGTTTCGTGTGCAGGCGAATTGTCAATGCCTGCTTGTCTGCATGTGACTGTGAAGGTATTTAAAATTCAGGGATGGGGTTTATTGTAATGAATTGTTTTGTGAGAATTCTTCATAATTTAAAACGCGGTGGTCGTCGCGCAGCACGTGTTCAAATTCGAATTTCATGTAAATAAAAAATGTATTTTACACGCGTTGTATACGTCGCTATGAGTCCCATATCGAACAGGACGCGGCGCGACGACTGCCGCCTTTTAAGGTTCAATTATATACTTATATTACGTTGCTATCTGGAATAGTTGTTATTTTGTTTGTTCATTAATGTAAACGTGTTCATTGCATCTGTGTAAGAACTGGTCTATATACTAATCTCTGATAACACTCTGTTGTACAATGTGTGTCATTCTCATTATATTATATATGCGTGCTTAGTTATGCAGTAGCCAGAACACACACTTAGGGTTAATAAAGCGGGAGGGTCGTCACCTGCGCACGCGCGGGAATTGAGTTCCAAGCAAGTTAACAACACAGGCTAAGAACACAAAAGCTCATGGGTAGACGCTTGTTTGTAAACAATGACACGCTATGGCCAACTGTCGCATGCGAAGGTGACGACCCCCCCCCCCACCCGCTTTAATGTACCTGCTGATCTGCACTGGCTCGGAAGATGAATTCTGATTGGCTAAAAAAACAAAAGACTTGTGGCGTTGAATGCACGTTCATTCTCAGTAATGTTATGCAAATTAGAAATTCAAACTAGCTAATCATTTACCTTCCGAGCCAGTGCAGATTAGCCCAAATGTACTGGCAGTTTTAGTAGTTGGAACCGTTTGACATATATAAATGCATATAATTATTTAGGTCACATGATCAGCTGAATGTTTATATCAAAATATCTTCATCCATGTGCACAATAGTAAATTACCAGCTTCTAATTTAGTAAATGTGCCTGTGTTATAAATCTCTTAATGCAATATGTGCATAATTAATGAGGTCACAAGTTCAGCTTATTCAACTTCTACATCTATTACCAGTTAGTATTAAATGCAAATGTACAATGGGTTGCTAATAATCATATATGAACAGTTAATGACGTCACATGACCAGCTAATATTGTATCCAAATTGTGATATCTATGTAGTACATAATATACAGCCAGTAGAATTGTAATTAATGTCAAAGATTTAGATAAGTTCATACAAAACACAGTAACTTACATCATTCAAAAGGGTATAGCAAACGGAATACGGATATTTATCATTGGAGTAACTACCAAATGTCAACATGCCTATCAATAGATATAGTTGTTGGTTTCTTACTTACTCCAATAAGTGTATTGGAAAATTCAACAGTTAGTAACAATAATGTGAATACTGAAATATATAAGCTGAGTAGAATGAGCTATGTTTGAGGTGTTTTATCACAAATTTGTAGGAGGTACATTTGGCGTTAAGCTATCCAAAAAACAGTTTTTTGGCTGTTGCTATGGCAATGGTGGGCCAACATTTTTTTTTTCAGATTTTTCCAAATAACTAGGGGGAAGGTGCGACTTACCTGCCAAGTTTGAGCACAATTGGCCAAGCCAAAAAAACATCACAGAAGAAATAATATGTAACACACACAAACCCACAAAAGTGATTTTAAGGGCAATCCTAGCAGAGCGGATCGCCACCAAACGACATCAAATAAAGTGACAATGTAGCAAGTATAAATACAAACTGCACCATTTATGGTGACATGACAAAATCAAACTGTTTTCTGTTGGAACATTCGCTAAATAAGATTCCTATTAATTTTTCATAATTTTGAAGATAATTCCAATGTGCAACATTATAACTATGTCACCTTTTTATTAAATATATATATATACATGTATATATATATATATATATATATTATTTTTTGTTTAAGTATGCGTGATAATTGGTATAGGCAAGTCAAAAACAGCCACCAGGCGGACATTTCGAATCTGTAAAAAAATGATATGCATCAAAGTACTTAGCTTCAATAAAATCGATTGAGATTGACACCTAGAAAGGGAATGAATTTGCATTTTAGAACTAATCTGTTAAAAAAAATGACATGTAGAAAGGACACTTGATGTTCAGTGTAAGCACTAGGTTTCAACAAAATTCAATTCATACAGTATTACTCAAATTAAGACACATTTTAACACCAAATTTATTTATATAGTCAGTATTTATAGGATTATATGCCCTGTCAACAGAGTTCATTTACAGAATCGGAAATGCAGAACAAAACATCCCGAGCCTACACAAATAGATTTTTTATGTGCACCGAGGTCAGGGACATTACACAGAGTCGACAGTTTAACATCCCCTCTGAAAGCACAGCATTCTCTAAAATACAAAAGCCACAACCTGGTAATTAAGCAGAATATACTTATCCTGCATTTCTGAGTATTCAGTCAACAGTGGGAGTCACCCCCATAATCTCCCTGACGATGGACGGACACAGGTCCATAATGGACACCATTCAGCCATTTTGAATTGCATTACAAAACAAAAGTATGTGCAAATGTGACGTTATGTACGTATGAATTACTGGTAGTTTTTATATGGTCGGTAAAGACATGTCTAACACACAGACACAGACAGACAGACAGACAGACAGACAGACAGACAGACAGACACACAAACAGACAGACACACAAACAGACAGACACACAAACAGATAGACAAACAGACAGACAGATAGACAGACAGACAGACTGATGATTCTACAAGTGCCCATTTTAATAGTATTAAAAAAAGAAATAAAAAAAAAAAATATCAAAAATACCATAATCACAATGTCTGAATATACGGTAATCTTGTTTACTTGACATTATCAAACACAATAGCAGAATATTGGTGCACCATGAAAGATTTCTAAAGCAATATAGTGAATTTCACAAACACATGAAATATTTATAAATATTTTATGAATTACATATGATGGTCAAAAACTTGACAAAAAAAAATTACAAATGCATACATATGTATTGTAAGAGTTCTCAGTATGAGATGGATTGTATCACCAGGAAGTACAAATGCATATACTGTGGAATACTTTATTTTCGCTTGAAATTAATGTTAGCTATTTTCGCTGAAGGAATGATTCAGTGAAAATAAAATCTAGCGAATATACCTTTTTCTTATGTTTTACATTCAATTTGTCAAAAATCACTGAAAATAAATTCCATACAAAACACAAAAAAAGTCTATTCAACGAAAATTAACTTCAGCTGAAATAATGTATTTTACAGTATATAAATATATATAATATGCATACAGTAGTCACATGGTCATGTACTTGTATGCTACACTCAGTGAAAGACATTTGAGACATAGTAGAAAAAAAGACCAATTCTTTAAGTAGATGCAAGATAAATTAAAGATGACATGTCACGTTCATCATTCTTTTACTTTTATGGATTCATACCATCAGAATACCAAAAACCCAAATAACTTTGGGGTCACTGGATTATTTTTCGAGATACAAGAGTCCAAAATGTCATGTATAATGGTCAAAATAACATTTTCACATTGGTTATATACACAATTTTGCTCGATGACTTAGGAGTAAAAAGTTGTTTATTATTATTTTTGACATGAAACCTAATATTGATAAATATTTCAAAAATTGATGTAAAATTTAGTGAGTTTCCAGTGTGATAATAGTTTTCCATTATATACAATGGGAAGTTATCTCCCATAATGCATTGCATATAAGTGCAGTAACATGCTCAGTAGTGCACCTGCCTTAACCTTTTTAACCACCAGACTTTCTCGCACAAACCTTTTTGCACTTTTCTTCTAAAAAAATTCAATATTTTTGGAAACGAACCCTAATTTTGCAGCCAACAGACTAAATTTGAGTTAATTTTCAGTTTTTACTCAAAAAATTTTGCAAATTTGTGATGAAACGAGGGAACTGGTGGTGAAAATGTCAATCATATCATCGCAGCAGAAACTAAATATAAACGGTTTCATTACTAAAATGAATAAACTGAGATTGTTATATCAGTATCTTTAAACAAATCACGTAGCATTTGAGATACGCGCTTCCACTCCAATCCATCTAATCCACACCCTATCCGTGGCATGGAAAGTCCGCTCACATTGTGAGCTCTGCAGTGCTTTTTCATAACTTCTAAGCTGGACTCTAAAGACTTGTAAGTCGGTCTTTTAGAGTAAATTTCTTTTGTAACCTAGAGATATGGAAAGAAGTAGAAATAAAATTATACCCAATGCCATAATCTTATGAAAGGAAATTACAATTTAAAACTAATGAAAATTAAAAAAAATTACAGAGTGCCAAAACTTATTTCAGGAAAACACGCTATCCTACCTAACCTTAAACCACCAGACTTTCACGCCCAAATTTTCCTGCACTTTTTATAAGTCAAATAGCAAAATTTGGTTCAACTTTCAGTTTTTCCTCAAAAAAATTGGTTATTTCTGTCCCAATATTCCAAAGGAAATAAACTCCAACATATTTTGTGAATTTGTCATGAAACGAGGGAACTGGTGGTGAAAAGGTTAATATGTGGTTCCCAATGTTCAAGATCATTTCTTTAATGAAATGGTTTTTAACATAAAAGCCAAATTATTATTATGGTTGTCTGGTTGGGACATTACATTATAATATTTATTACCCAGTGTAATGCAATATGAGAGTGATGAATGTGCAATTGTTAATGACACAGTCCACGTCTAAAATTTTGTGATCTGACATATCAATTTGATGCTGATGAAGTCATTGAGATTAGATTGAAACCATTATTAGGAGATGAATTTGTAAAAAATTATGATTTAGTTCTTTAACACGAGAATTGAACATTGGGCAGTCATATTAAATCAAATTACAAAAATAATGTCCATGTTGATGTATCTATTGCTATACTGTCTTTGTACAAAATTTAAACAGAAATGTTGATTGCATTCATGGGAAAGTAGGCATGACATGCAACTATAACCCAATATGTATGATTATCATACCAGCTTTGATCCAAATTGGTCTAGTCATCTCTGAGAAGCAGCTCCAGACATGTAAAAATGACGATTTAGCGCTTTTACATGAAAATTGGGCGTCGGCCAGCCATATTGAATTGAATCACAAAAATCAAGTTGGTGCAGATGTATCTCTTGGTATACTATCTTTGTACAAAATTTAAACAGAAACAATCGTTGCATTCAAGATAAAGTAGCATGGGTACCATGAAAAACAAGATGACCGCCAGTCGGCCATATTTGTTCAAATCACGAACATGACGTGCACCTACAACCCAATATGTATAATCATCATACCAACTTTGATCCAAATCAGCCCAGTCATCCCCAAGAAACTAGTGCGGACACGTTTAGGTATCAGAAATAGCAAATTTTACATCGAAAATGGCTCCGATTATAAAGTAACTTAACGTGTATATGTAAGACATTATGTATTGTCTTCATGTAAGTTTGAATGAAATCCATCAATGGGTGTCAGAGATATAGCTCCGGATGTACGGATGGATGGACGGACGAACAGACCCAAATTAATAGTCCCCGTTTTCGGACTTCATACGACGAGTCAATACATGCAAGCTGAAACTGTGAGTACTTCAGAAATAGACGCACTTAATTAATTATGATAATAATTTTGATCAAGGCGGGTTGCCTGTATTTTTTATTTATTTACTTACCATATATATTTTATTTTAGTTATAATATTTTTAATTACTTTTTGCTGATTTTCCATTATATTATCTACATCTTATGAGTTATTTTTATGGTAACTAGTCTTTCACAATTACCAACATTAAAAAAAACTACTATTATTAAATGATAAATAAGATCTATGAAAAGTAAATAACACATCACTAAAAAGCACAAGGGAAGAATTATATAGGTGTGGCTGTTCATCAAATTCAAGTTGGCAACTTGATGTCTGTTAAGGAAAACAGTGTATTTATGAGCAGGTGACAAAATGTAGCAAAATGCTACAGACCGGTGATTTATAAACAAGAGTTTATTTACTAGGACATTTTTTCTCTGCCCTCAAACTTAACTATGTCAGTACTATGATATTCATAATTCATAATTTTCTAAACAGTAAAATGTGCACACTCACTGAATCTTACACCAGAGATGTAAGATTATAGTTCTAGGTTCGGGGAGGGGGGGGGTGTTAGTAACCATTGGCCATATATGCAATATGCAAAATATCGGTTATAGCACACATGCGAAACAAAAGCCATTTTTGCGCATGAACCAAGATGGCAGCCAAACCATTGGTATTTAATAAATAAAAAAACGCAAACTGTTATATATACTCACCATATAATATACATATCTACCATCTCTTTCAAGTACTCCACATCCACCAGTTTTAATACCTGAAGTATAAAATCAAATGATATTACATAATATGAAGTTATCATGAGAATACCAGAAAGTATGAACAAAGGCAGTACAGTGATTGTATCAAATGATCTATAGTGGAGTATCGATGCGACTAGTACTGCCTGAGTTCATAATTTTCAGTATTCTCGTAATAACATTATTATTATACATTATAAAATATTACTGTATAGCCTAAAATGACAACAAAAAACGTTTTGCGCTATGCGAACATTTGCATGAATGACAGGATTCAATTTCCATCACACTATAACATGTCAGTGTCCAACATACACAACAAAAACTGTTTGACTGCGACGTCAATAACATGGAACACATCAATGTTGGTAATGTAGTTCATCCCCATATAAGGGAAAATTTGAATGTTTGTCACTATAGGTAGATGGTCATTATATAAAAGTGTTCACTATGGGCAGGGGGTTCTTGTATGAAGGTGGTTTTTCTATAAATAATCACCAGTGTGCCGTCAAACAGGACTGATTTTGTGGGAATCCACAAAATGGATTACCCAAAATCAGGTCATGTACGTTTTGATAGACCGGAAGTGTATTGACCCCAACGATTGCGCCGCTTATGGTGGGAATGGAATAAACTTATTCTTTACAAAGAACTTGGAAATCGTCAATTCTACAGATATTGACGTATTCTACAAATCTTGTAAAGAATTTCCTACCTTGTGAGATGAGCTCATCCACTCCGCCAAATCTCTTTTTAAATTCTTTCGCGATACCTTTCCCCATCTTGCAATCTTCACTGATACAATGGGCCAAAGCATCTGTTTGAGGACATTTGAATAAATCGCCTTTTACCTCAGAAAAAACAAATCCCTGTAAATAAAGATAGCAATTTTTATTTAGTTTTTAAAAAACTTATGAACCATCAATGTTTATTCATCGTCAGTTGGACCCAGAATAACAAATATAACATGCATCTATTTAAATACTATATGCAGCATCTTTTTTGGCCAGAATTGTAGAAAAAATTAAAGAAAGAATCTGTTTTCATGAAAAATAAAAAGGTGCCTGTGCATGTCATTTTAGAAAACAAGTTACCAGTAACCAGCAGTATCTTATTTTTCATTCATTTATTTATTCTTAACTATCATGAGAGACATGTATTGAATTGATTTTTGTAATTCTCACATGAAAAATTACTTAATTAGTGTTTAATTGCTTTTAGATGTGCATATGCTCAAAACTGATCCAAACACACTGTCCCTGAAGGCAACTTGAACAACATGTACTCTCAGATACAGAGAACCAAATTTCACACCACATTTCTCATCTTTATCACACAAAGGTAAGGGTTGATTTAAAGCAAGAGAGCTGTCACCTGCGCATGCGCCACATGGCCATAGCGTGTCATTGTTTACAAACAAGCATCTACCCATGAGCCTTTGCGTTTTTAGCATGTGTTGTTATGGTCGCTTGGGACTAAATTCCCTCGCATGCTCAGGTGACACCCTCCTGCTTTAATTGCACATGAATGTAATCAACGCTATTTGGTATGGCAAGTTTGCACTTTAAATGGTTTTTACTTAATCTTTTCACCACCAACTCCCTGTTATTATCACAAATTCACAAAATAGTGGTGTTTATAGCCTGCACTGTCCTTCAGAAGTTTGGGACAAAAATAGCCAAATTTTTTGAGGACAACATAAAAATTTGCTTCAGAACTGGTGAGATGGATTTTAGCAAAAACAAAAATGTGGTATTAATTTTTCATGTGATATGTTTAAAGTGACTTCTAATTTACTGCTAATACCAGTGTAGTTGAATTGGCTCTATTTCTGAGAATATATTATTTGATTTGAAAACCTACATAAATCACTCTTTAATTTTTTTTTTTATTTTGGGTAGTTGACTTATTGACTTCAAGTGTAGCACAACTTGATTAAAATCACAGATAAGAATATGCTCAAATTTACTTTTTTTTATATTTCACTTTTTGGTGTTTGACGTTGTGCGTTTTTGATAAATATTTCTTCAAGACTATCAAGATATATATACAAGACTGTATTTTGACCAAAGACATGTTATTTATGGAAGAACATGCACTACTAATAGTTTGCTCTGGACAGTTACCTTCTTCTTGGCTTTTTCAGGCTCTGCTCCTTTTTGACTTGTTTTTGAGGTAGCTGCTGCCATAGCGCCCTCAGAGTCTTCTTCATCACTCTCATTCCAAGGTTTGAATTTTTTGCTTTTCTTTGCACTGACAATATGTGACATTGACATTTTTGTCAATAAAATACTGTGGAAAATGATAAATAAATACTATTAATTTCATACATTAAACACATTTTTGAGAGATGGCAGGAAGACTGAGGCTGGTGTGAATATTCGTTCCACGGTCTCATCTGTAAATTTTATTTTTTTGATGAAAGACATTTGCATTTTTTGAATACAAATTTATACTGAAATTTTTAAAAAATATTAAAATATGACTTAAACCATGGCTCGGGTGTATAAAAGAAAAGATGGCGACCAGACTCCAGATTTCAGTATACAATTCACGCTCCGTGGTGATATAATATCTGGAGTGTTTTCAAAATTGTTATTTTCGACACAGTCACTCTATCCCGGCTGGATAGACTGTGGCACGGAGTACTTTATTTTTCTATCACGCAAATAATGAATATTCGTAGAAGACAATTTCAACATCAAGTTTACTATGACAAGATTCAAGCGCATTTCTAAATGTTGACAAGAAGGCACCGATATGTTTTAAATAATCCTTTTTTTCCTGGAAATTCAGAATGCTTGTGTGTATCCCTAACTGACCAGCCAAATCGAAATACACTCCTTAATGTTATCGAGGGACGCAGCCGCACCAACACCAATACCTAGATCGACTGAGATAACTTTGAACTTAGCTGAATGCTGAACATGTACTAAACAATCACAACTATGACAACATAAGATGCACAGACGCGGTCCCTTTCCACGATGAACTTCCGGAATAACTTCCGAGTGCCGTTCAAAGTACGACGCATGTTTGTTTTATTCGTAACCGTGTACGAAGTAATGGAAGTTCACCCAGCTTGTTATACTCACTTATTCTCGGATATGAATTCATCTGAAAACTATCTTTAGAAATGACAATCTTCTATTCCAGTACAACTTCGAGTCACCGAGTCGTTCAGCCGGTCTTAGTCGAGGATGCGCGGTAACCCCATGAGATGAGGTCATGTTAGGTCAGAGTCGGTCACATCGACTACCCATAATTCCCTCCCCAGACTGAATCGAGCTACGAAAGGTAGCAGCACAGTCAGCTGGCGCACACGTGATAATAAAATAAATACGATATTTACTATATGGGGCCGCCATCTGGAATGACGCATAAAACTAAATAAGAAGACAAGTTGGTGAAACTAAAAATTGGCATTCCAGCACAGCAGCCAATCAGCGACGGCCTAACGCATAGATGACAATTTCGGTTTCAAATACCCCGGCTTTAGTGTTT